TGCATGATGTATTTAAGACTAGCCAGTGAAATAGCATATATCCTTATCACTGCATGGAGTTAAGCAGTGTTTCAGACAATGGATAGTAACTCATGGATATGTGCACGGTTATCGATCTTTTTCTTGAAACTGTCTAGTCGCTTGAAGGCGTAATTTGGACGGGATAGATCAAGAATGAAAAGAAATGCAGTTAGCTAAGGTTGATCTTATGGGGTGCGGTGGTGGATGACGTGTAACAGTTTTGTCAAGATGACTTGGATTATCCAATTTATTCTACACTGTGATCAAATTACTTCGTGTTCTTTTATAATTCTAGTTCCCATAACAGTTTTTCGGCAGTTCGGTCACAAACGTACTCATATGACAGCACTTGTCATCATGGATTCACATCATTTTAGGAGACAAGTTATAAAACTCTGTGTTTTAAAATGTGAACTAGGGAGGCAGAAGTCTAGATATAAAGCTTTGTGACAAGACTATCACGGTCCTTGCTTTTCATTTATACCGGATATCGACACAGACAACTTCGATTTCAGATCGAATATAATGTGATTAGTGTCATCAAACTTTTGAGGATAATTAGCCAATTGCTCGGTCCTAATGATATCGGTCTGGATTGTAGAAGTAGTTGCTTTGTTATTTAAATATATGATTCTCACCTTAGTCCATCAGAAATGTGAAACAATAGAAGTACTAGTTAGTAATAGACTGAAAATCCGAACAATAGCATGTCTAGTATCCTTCCTTAGAATATTCAGAGCCGAAGTCTCGTTCAGGAGGAATCGGTAAATGATGGAATCATTATCGTCTCCAGAAACTAGTTCAGTGAACTGAAGACTACATCTACAAGCCTTCATACGCAAAAATGTCGTTCATTTTTATGTCTTCCGAATGAAGTGTTGTACGAAGGGGTTCTTCTTGAACTTCAAGACGATCTCTATTCACTTTTAAAATAAAAAAATGGTGTAGGGTTACAAAGATTACGAATACCGTCTTGAGATGTCTGGTAGTTCTCTGGTGCGGAACAGCTCTCTATAACAAGTGTTTTTGCTTTCTTCTGAATCAGACTTTAGGAAATAGCTAGTTCCCTCCCCTAACCAACCATTTCTAATTGCAGCACAAACATTTACATATTGTGGCAGTTTATAGAAAAATTGTTTCTGGTGAGGACCTTTGTAGGATGCTTTTTGGTCAATGAACTTAAAGGATTAAGGTTCAAGATTTATATCAGTGCATTAACTTATCCTACTATTTCTCACTGGATGTGGTCAATCTATGCAGCCGTAATAATGTTCTTGAGTTGAATATAGTTATTTTCAATCAACTATTCAACGTCCAGTGTTCCACCATCTAATGTAGAAATAGTTCAGATTGATAAGTCATTTGTAGTGAAGATTTGGTGTTATTCCACGGTTACTACAAACTTTCATTCCTGACATCATTCCTGTAGCTAGCTGTATTCCACTTTGATTTCACGGGACAGTTAATTTATTCATTCTTAACTAGACAGACCTTTCTGAGGTATAATCATTTTAAGTAACTGTTAAGGTTCTAAAAGGTTCTAAAGTTGGCTGGTGTGTTATGCTCTGAGTTGCACTGATCGTACACAGAGAGAACTTAAGTTTACCTACGAATCACACCAGACTTTCCAAAATCTTCACGGCAGAATCTCGCTTCTAGATTATCAGGTCAAAACAGATTAGGCTTTAGGGTTGGTATACAGGAATATGTAGCCAGTTTAGTTAAACAGTTCGTCCAGTCATGATAAGGTTATCAGTACACATGATAGTGCAAAGCCACAAATAGTAATATATATATATAGTGCAGAGACTAAGTCAGGGAACTCTTAACCAACCAACCTAAGCTGTTACAGACTCACAGACCGTTCTTCGTAGTAGTACCTCCTAGATGCAACACAGATGTAAGTAAAGAAGTTTGTGTTGGAAAATAACGAGAAATGTAGCACATTCTTTATGAAGCCCTTTGAAAGCAATAACAGGTCAGTTCAAATGCATTTAAGCGTGACATTTGTTTTACAAAAATCAACAAAGAACTAGTATTTCTAGGAGTTTGAGAGATATCACACATTTTCGTCCACTGTTACACACAGCCACTGATATTAGGCCACGGGAATCCATAGGTACTTGATTTCGTGCCGGGTTTGATTTAAATATGAGGTATGTTCATCTTGTAAAAAAACCATTCCATAACTTTTAGCGTATATGTATTTACAAGTGAATATACCGTTCTAAATTCATAGAATCGTATATCAAGGAAGAATAAGGAAATTTTTGTAAGCGACACCAATTATCTCAATTTTCTATCCGTTTTTTGCAGCTCAGATAACCATTTGTAGTCAAAACTAGGTCAGGTGAGGTCACCAACCCATATCCACGACTGCAAGTCAGCAAATTCATTTGTGCTACCAATGCAACATATACTAGAGTGAAACCGAGCCGTTAATTCTAATTTTCGCATTTCAAATAAAGGACAGCCATTTTCTCTGGCCACTAGTGATTTACAAGTGGCTTTACTAGTAATATATACCGAAAAAACACTCCCTTCTATTACATGTGTGAATGCTTCCTAGCCAAGCATCCAGTTTGCATTTCATCTTTTAGTAGATTATATTGTTGCTGGTCAGTATATGGTCTCAACAGAAAGACAAGTGACTGCTGCTGCGGCGCAGTCTCAGAAGTGACATTCAATTACCCATTATGAGTGATAGAAGAGCTGAACTATTCATTTGAATTAGCTAGTTTTGCTTGGTTGGTTTGCTACGTCTCAGTCACTATATGAAGAGACTGAATTCCTCTGGCATTAATCAACATTTCTTAAATAACGCCCGTTATCTTATTCCGTTCTCCACTACCCGATTACAGGCTTTTGAAGGAAGTTTTTGTTGTTTTGCGGAGAGTGCTGAGTCGGTTCTTATGGCGTATGGTAAATCATTAATAATATGGATGTGAATCGACATTTAGAGTCCTGCAAACTCTTCACAAGTGTTGTCTTATCAGATACTAATCACGCACTTCATTCATATCTTTCTCCTTGTATACCTCCTAGGAAAACGAGGCGCCAAAACATTAGGACCTACATGCCCAAGAAAAAGTACAAAAGCTCTACAGCACCTTATTAAGCAAATATATTACGTGACGAACAGGTTTTAAGAGCTGGTCGAGTTAATAGCTCGTATTTTTAAACACGTTCCTGAAGTCATAGTTGTATGGATTCCAATCTTATGAAAGACATTTCAGTCAATCCCAAGTAGCCTATGAATCTAATCAATTTATAAATGCATCGGCTTTTGACTTTCGTTTTGTGGAAGAAACTTGTTGAAATACTTTGTTCTGAAAATTCCATATTGAACTAAACATATATCGTTGAAGAAAGCTCTTAATAATATATTTAAATTGCTGAGGATTTCTTGTGCTCTATCGTAGCCAGTGAATCCAAAATGTCATTATTCATTCTGTTGCCCAGTAGAAAAATATTTCAGTGTTCAATACACATTCGATGGGCTACTATGACCGGCCTTATATCACATGTTTCCAATTCCACATGATTTGTCACAAGGGATGCATAGAGCGGCGTACCCTTTCGTTATGTGACGAGGATGAGTGACCGAGAGCCTTTAGCTAGGGTGTGTCCAGTAAAAGTAATGTGGTTAGCATCCATGTCGTAAAGTTACAAAACCATTTATTTTAAGGATTTATTTACTACTACAAACCAACCTGAACTGAACATAAGTGGTAAGTTTTAAATCGTTTATTTCCACAAGAATAAGAATCATTGATTGAACGTCTTTATGTAGGATTTTGAGCCTGAAGTTTTCGGGGTCAGTAATAAAGCTAGAACATGCTGATGACATTCAGAAATATTAAGCGTGGTAACATTATGGAAGCATACGTCGGCTAATGTTGTTGAACACGTAACTATATTTTCTCACATGTGCTCTTGTTAGTTATTGACTGTTAGTTTTGGATGTTGTTCAGCTGCGCTGGCCTCTTGTGTGTCAGTCAAGTATGCTCGAATTCGTTATCTGTCATTCATACGTTATTCGCCTTATATAGTCTAAGTCATCCATTACTCACTGATTAGGATGTTACATCTATTCCCATCTACTCAGTTTGCAAATTTGCTCTCTCAGTTCGCCTGATCACATGAAATATCCCCTACGTACATCACCGAACATAAAAGTAATAAACGAGACGTAACCGCACATTGAGGGAATTTCCAATCATTTTCTGATTTATAGCAATGATATTCAGCTGTTAGGAGTATTACCACAAAGATTTTCATTTTAAGGGTGATTTGTTAGTTGTACACATTTTAAAGACCCGAGTTATGATGGTTGTCCAAACCGTATGCAAACATCAAGTAGCAGCACTTGCTAAAAAAGAAAAACCAATAATTCTTTAATAATAGTATCCCGAAGTACAAGACGTCCTTAGAGGAAGGACCATGTAACAAAGTCTATTTTAATATCAAAACTAAGATTAGCAGGCAGTAAGTGTTCAATGACGTCCTGATACTAGTGAACCGTGACTAAGGTGGCTAGGAGTTAATGAAACCAGTAAATTAGCATCGTTTGAATGTAAAGAAAGTCTGTGTTAGTATTTTTCATTGCTTTGACTTACTATCGATTCTAGAAGCCACGACGCACAAAGCAAAACTTTGCTAGTACTCAATAAACTTGAAATGGTAAAGTAACGCAGAGACGCAATCATAAAGAAGTCATTTAGCCTGCTTTGGCTCATCACAAAGATATTGGACACTAGAAATAAGGAAAATGCAATCGACAGTCTGCAATTGCTGAAGGCGCGTCTTCATATTAAACGTTACACATTGTTAGGCGTTTTGAGCCTCCTGGGTTGTCAAGCTTTGCTACAGACTATGTGCCTAATAAGTCATCAGTTTAATCGTCCGATGGTATTTTTTCCAGATCCTTTGACGACTGGATGTTTTAAGTTACATATGCTCATCACCTTGGAAAGCATATGGTTCATTCGATCAGTTATGAATTTGAAGATCAAACAGATAGACCAATATGCCAGCGATGTTCAAAGTCATTTAAGTCCCACCTTACACTGAAGCATCATACTGAAGGTATGTGGTAATGATTGATGATTAAAAATTCTATAATCTTGTTTCCATTTATCTCAGCTTTAATCATTTCTAATAAGTTCCCTTAAGCTTCAAATTGAGAAGACTTACTAAATGCACTCGAAACCATTAGGTATAGAAATAACCTAAGCACTTAAGTGTTGTCAAGCCCAACGTAGCAGCTGTCATCTTTTGGTGATGAAAATAAAGGTCCATGTTGTCTCTGTTAGTCATGGATATTTAATCGTAGAGATACGAAATTTCTTTGAGAGTCAAATTAGGTGTTAATACCAAGTGTTCTGGGAGGATGCAGCAGCTTCTGATGCAGTTATAAACGAAATTCCAGAGACTATCTGTGTGCCGAGATTTGAGCGACGCTGCGGTGACCTTACGAATATCCACTTAATAATAGGATTAAATAAGGACTACAAATAAATGTGAGAAAACAGTATTATAACTTTCAGATGAACGCTAGGGTTAAGAATTAAATTCAAGTATCATACTTACCTCAGTCACCTACAACCTAAGGCCAGGCACATATGTGCATCGGTCCAAGTTGCCACACCTCATTAGCACAACAAGATGAACACCGGATTCATAGAAGTAGTTAATTCAGTGGTGGTAATATATAAAAGAAATATTGCATATAATTGCATATAGTACAGGAAGAAAGAATTAGGTCGTAGAAAGAAAGATATGAAGCGATTTTAATCTCTAGTTTAAGGGAAGACAGAGAGTGTATACACCGACGCCATTGTGATCGATTCTGAGCCGTGTCACCAAGAGTCTCCAAGCATTGGTCACGATAGTCACGCAGACCCCAACCAAGTAGTCTGCATTTACCAATATGGCTCAGACCAGGATTTAATGACTTCAAGTACTGATGCCACGTTTTTGGCTTAGCTGCCCCTAACTTTCTCCCAACCATCCCCAACACCAGTTAGCATTGCACATCGTGGTAATCGGTGTTCAGACATACGCAACACGTGGCCCAACCATCTCAGTCGATGAAGATTCACAACCTCCAACTGATTTACCATCGTTCCCTAATACCCTACGTTTAACCTCGCTATTACTTACTTGGTGATCCCAGCAGATGCGAGCAATATTTCCAAGGCATTTGTGGTCAAATACTAGTAGCTTACTAGTATCTTCATCTCTTAATAGCCACGTTTCGCAGCCACAAAGCAAAACAGAACGAACTACCGCGCAGTATACTCGTCCTTTTGTTGATAGACGGATATCTCGCCTTCGCTATAGGTGACGTAAGTTGGTACAAGCCAAATGAGCCTTCCGAATCGGTGCAGAAATTTCTTCAGACACCAACCCATCAGGGCTGATCAGACTTCCAAGGTATGTGAAGTTGTCGACGCGTTCGACTACTTCACTCCCTACCCTTAGTTCAGGTGTTGACGCAGGCCAGTCCTGAAGCAACAACTTGCGCTATTTTTACGGGTTATTTCTCAACGTAATGTGAATTCTTCGGTAAACACCACCATACCACGCACTTGGAATTTACTTACTTACGCTCGTTGCTCCCAACGGAGCATAGGCCGCCGACCAGCATTCTCCAACCCACTCTGTCCTGGGCCTTGTTTTCTAGTTCCATCCAATTTTTGTTCATTTTTTTCATGTCTATTTCCATTTCTCGGCATAATGTGTTCTTTGGTCTTCCTCTTTTCCTTTCGCCTTGAGGATTCCATGTGAGGGCTTGTCTTGTGACGCGGTTGGGTGCTTTCCTCAATGTGTGTCCTATCCACTTCCAGCGCTTCTTCCTGATTTCTTCCTCCGCTGGGATCTGGTTTGTTCTCTCCCACAGTACGTTGTTGCTAATAGTGTCCGGCCAATGGATCTGAAGTATTTTGCGTAGACAACTGTTAATAAACACCTGTATTTTCTGGATGATGGCTTTCGTAGTTCTCCAGGTTTCTGCCCCATACAGTAGAACTGTCTTGACATTTGTATTGAAAATCCTGACCTTGGTGTTGGTTGACAGACAGTTGTTTTGAGTTCCAGGTGTTCCTCAGTTGTAAATATGCTGCTCTTGCTTTGCTGATCCGCGCCTTCACATCTGCATCAAATCCACCCTGTTCATCAATGATACTGCCCAAATATGTAAAGGTTTTTACATCTTCCAAATCTTCTCCGTCAATTGTGATTGGATTGGTGCATTCTGTGTTGTATCGAAGAGTCCTGCTTTTCCCTTTGTGTATATTGAGACCTACTGCTGCCACACTGTTCGTCTTCTGCATTTATTGTTGCGTTTGGGATAGAAGTGCCAGATCATCTGCGAAGTCTAGATCGTCCAACTGCATCCTAGATGTCCATTGTATCCCGTGCTTCCCTTCAGATGTTGACGTCTTCATGATCCAATCGATCACCAGGAGAAAGAGAAAGGGTGAGAGTAAGCAACCTTGCCTAACACCGGTCTTCACTTCGAACGACTTTGTCAACTGTCCTCCATGCACGTTTTTGCAGTTTAATCCATTATATGAGTTCTGTATGATATTGACTATCTTCTGAGGCACGCTGTAGTGTCGAAGAAGCTTCCATAGTGTTGTTCTGTCCACGCTATCAAATGCCTTTTCGTAGTCAATGAAGTTGATGTAGAGTGATGAATTCCATTCAATTGATTGTTCCACAATGATCCGTAGAGTTGCGATTTGGTCTGTACACGATCTATCCTTACGGAATCCTGCCTGTTGGTCACGAAGTTGGGCGTCTACGCGGTCCTTCATCCTGTTTAACAATACCCTGTTGAAGACTTTTCCCGGTATTGAGAGAAGAGTTATGCCCCTGTAGTTATCACACTTGCTGAGATCGCCTTTCTTCGGTAATTTGATCAGAAGTCCTTCTTTCCAGTCTGTTGGTACTTGTTCCTCATCCCAAATCTTATTGAAGAGAATGTGGAGTATCCTTGCAGTTGCCGCTACGTCTGCTTTTAGTGCCTCTGCTGGAATGTTGTCCGGTCCTGCTGCTTTGCCACTCTTGATTTGTCTGGTGGCCATGCTGATTTCTTCAATTGTTGGTGGGCCAACATTGATTGGGAGGTCCGTGGGTGCTGCTTCGATATTGGGTGGGTTCAGTGGAGCTGGTCGATTCAAGAGTTCTTTGAAGTGTTCTACCCAGCTGTTTTGTTGCTCTTCAATGTTGGTGATTACCTCGCTTTCCTTGTTTTTCACTGGTCGTTCTGGTTTGCGGCGATTTCCAGAGAGTTTCTTTGTCGTGTCATACAATTGTCTCATGTTTCCTTCTCTTGCAGCCTTTTCCGCCGTCGTTGCTAAATCTTCCACGTATTTACGTTTGTCGGTTCTGATGCTCCTCTTCACTGGTTTGTTTACTTCTGTGTATTCAGCTTGTGCCTTGGCTTTTTCTGCTCTTGTTCGGCTGGTATTGATTGCTGCCTTCTTGTTCCTCCTTTCTTGAATCTTATCCAGTGTATCAACAGTGATCCATTCCTTGTGATGATGCTTCTTGTGACCCAGGACCTCATGACATGTTGAAGTGATTGCCTCTTTGATCCCCTTCCAGTTGCTCTTCACATTAGTTCCTTCTCCATTGAGTAGATCATAAAAGGCCTGGAACTTGTTGCTGAAGACTATCTTGAATTTGTTGAGTTTGTTAGTATCCTGAAGAAAGGCCGTATCGAACTTTTGTGATATTGTCCACCCCATTGTCCAGTGCTTCTTGAGTTTCAATTTCATCTTGGCGACCAGCAAGTGATGATCTGATGCTATATCAGCTCCTCTCTTGGCTCTCACGTCCTCTATAGTCCTCCTGAACGTTTTGTTGATGCAAATATGGTCGATTTGGTTTTGTGTGGTGTGATCCGGTGAAGTCCATGTGGTTTTGTGTATGCGTTTATGTGGGAATATGGTGCCGCCTATGACCAGCTTATTAAAGGCACATAGGTTTGTAAGTCTATCACCATTTTCGTTTCTTTCTCCCAGTCCGTACCGTCCCATGATGTCTTCATATCCAGTGTTGTCCGTTCCAACCTTGGCATTGAAATCTCCCATCAGAATGGTCAGGTCCTTTGTTGGGCACTTCTCGATGATTGACTGCAGCCTATTGTAGAATTGATCTTTAGCTTCTTCATTGTAGTCGTTGGTAGGCGCATAGCATTGGATGATGTTCATCGAAATGCCCTCTTTCTTTGTTTTGAAGGAGGCTTTGATGATCCTTGGTCCATGAGATTCCCATCCTATAAGCGCATTTTGCGCTTGTTTAGACAGCATCAATGCAACTCCTTGTGTATGTGGGGCATTTTCTTCTTCATGGCCGGAGTATAACAGGAGCTCTCCTGAAGTTAGTGGTTGTTGTCCAACTTGTGTCCAATGTGTTTCACTGATCCCAAGTACCTCTAGGTTGTATCTTCTCATTCCTGCAGCAATTTGGAAGGCTCTCCCGGTGTCCCACATTGTACGAACATTCCATGTACCTAAATAAATGGTTGCTCTGGTTGTCGGACGGGGCATCGGCCACGTGGCTTCCGAAGGAACTCGGCTTTCATTATGAGGCGTCATAGTTCTCCTAAAAGAAGACCTTCTGACTCCCAGGGCAGAGTTTAGAAGGTTTGAATAATTTTTTCTGGTCAGCGTTTTTTGGCGAGTTAGTTTTCTACGGGATGGGGACGCTAACTCCATGCCCAACCCTCCTCCTTTATCCGGGCTTGGCACCGGCAGTAGCCCCCGGAGGGACTCCAGGCGGAGTCCCTTTAATTATTTAAATTTAGAAGTTAAGACTAGTGTTCACTTTTGAAAATTGTCCGTTAAATTATGTTTAACTCCAAATATTACTCTCCGTAAATATAAAACTGAAAACGTATTGGTAATAGCAGTGTTAGACATGTAAGTTGTTATTTCGTTCACACAAATGTGAACGTGTCACTGAATTTTACCGTATGAATGGTGCTGTTTTTGGTTACATTTTTCCCTGCACGTGTATAGGACTCGATAAGTTTTAGTTTTGTAATTTTCAATTAGTTTTCGTAATTACACGGGTTAAAGCTGTCTGCAACATAAAATGTCGGAAAGTAGTTAGAAGAAAAGACTAAATTTCATTGTCAATCTACCCATCATAAAAAGTTTAGAAAGTGATTTATTAATGGGTATGTTCTGTGATTATTTTACTATAATTTTCCCCTTTAGTCTGTTCTAATCGTAATTCGGAGCCAAGATTCTGCTGTGAGGTATGTCGAAAGAAATTTAGGACTGATATTCAGTACACCCGTCACATCTATTACACTCATTCACAACGTACATTTCTGTGTAAAGAAAAAAGTGAGTTTGCGTCAATACGTTTTAGTGTGTTTCTTATTGTTTGTCTCACAAAGGCTATATAACAACGTCTGTTTTGCACGCAAATAATTAGTTGAGTAATCAGCAAATGAAGTGAACTATACTGTTTTCAAAGTGTATATTGTTTTGAATGTTCATAGTGGTATTCATCTGTAGTTTTATGGGTCTATGAAATAGTTGGATAACTTGCAACTCAAATATTGTGAAGTAAGGCATTCTATCCGATCATTATAGGCATATGTTTTGTCCTCAGGGATTAAGCATTTGACAGACATTGGACTGTTTAGTGAATTCGCGTATATGGTAAGTGGTTTTTAAAATGTATAAACAAGATTTCGAATGTGTTCAAAATGGACTCCGCATACTTTAGATGCTTCACGACTCGTATTGACTTATTTTTATTTCATTAACAGCAAATGAAGTTGCAGAATGAGTTCATCAATTTTTTTTAAATATTTGTATCCAGCTTAATGGATGAACGCTCAATAAAATTCCAACGCAGAAATAAAGGACTACTTTATCTTATACCTATCCACCTTGTTTTTATACCGAATATCTGTTTGTGGTACTTAACAGTGGTAATGCATGACTGTTAACAATGAAGGATATTAAATTCTTCGCTCTTAATTTCTTAAACAATATTTCAAGAATGCTTGAGATTCATTTCTCTCCTAAATCCAATAGATTACTTCCCTCTTACATTTTCCAAGGACATTTTTATACTGTATCTATACGCTTGAGTTGTGTTCTTGTTCGTTCATGTTTCCGGGCTTCTTATAGTATATACATTAACCTCGTCTGATTGTGGTCTCCCTCGAGTTAGCAGGGGTGGAACGCAGTGAATAGTTTAGCTTGTCCGGTTGTTGTGTCTCTGACTTTCGTCCTGTTCACTGGTCTAGGTGGCATTGTTGTCACTTTTCAAACACAGCAAATTTAGTCATCCTTTAACTTCAGCTGGAGTTATCTTAAAGCTTAACAAAACTCAAGATACTTTACTTAACTGTAAATCCTACTTAGTTAGCTATTTCTATCGACTCTGTAGATGACTATTGTAGGATAGTCCACCTTGTCTGTATTGTCAATCATGAATTCATAATTAAACTTCAATATGTACATTTTTAATTATTATAGTTTTCAGACTGCCACTTTTATGTGTTTGAACAACCCTATCTATTGTGGCTAGTTGGTACTTCATGTATGTTTGGTCATCTTATCTATTTACGATGTTGCCATTCAGTAAATAGATAGAAATCTAAATATAACGATTTAGCTTGTTCCTGTGTGTTAATGTATGCTTTATAGTAAATAACAGCTTTTGTGATTTGTTTTCCTTATAATAAATGTTGGCTCTAAAATATCTACTGAGTACCTTGTTCTCAGCAGTTGTATTTACTATTCATCTCAATACTTTAGATTTTTGTTTAAAACTTTGTTCAATTTCTTATCTCCACTACCATTCGACGAGTTGTTTATTCTCTTTGCTCCAAGAGTTTCAATCTTTTCAACTATTGTATACCTGTTGAATATTTAGTTGCGTAAACTGCAGCATCTTAGTGAAAATAAAGAAAAGGAATCGCTCTCTTATTTATCAGAACTACAGCACGTATTTACTTGGTTAATGTCATCACCTGTATGTTAAGAAGTAGCGTCGCATGGAAAATGTGTGTGACATCAGTACGAATGTAATGTTAGGAACTCATACTACAACAAACCTTGCACCACTACATGCAAAAAGCTGATAAGTACCGACACAGTCTTTAAAAATGGAACCTACCAGGTGTTAGCAAACCAAGAAATTTCTTCTTAAATAAGCTGTAATTTTTGTGGAACTTTGAAATTACTCCCTGTTAGTATCCCTCACTAAAAAAATATTCCTCATGTAGTTTAAATAGTACCTAGATATATATCTAGAATGTTATTGAGAATTAATATGTTATTGAGGTTACGGGTTTTACTTGTGTGTTGCAAATTTGAGTCGTTCAGTACTACTCTAGTATCGTAGGTGTGTAGATTAAAACGATGTGTTCAAAAACCTCACCTTCCGACCGTCTTGGTACTTTATATAAGGATTTCTTAGACTAAGGAACACCTTAAGTCACTCCTTTATTTGTACTTATTGGAGTGGGGCTGAAGAGCTTGGCTTCTAACTATGAAGTTGCAGGTCCGAAAATCGTTTCATCTACTTTGTTTTGACCAGCTAGTTATTATCACCAGCCATCATGGTGTTGCTGAAAGCCGAGTACGTAGACTTGTACACTGTAAATGAATTATTTATTGTTAAAAGTGTAGATTTATATTCATATTGTTTTGCGTACCATAAAGTTTCAGACTAAATACATGTTTATCTTCATTTCCTTTTAACTCCAGGTTGTGGTAGAGCATTCTTATCAAACTCGCATCTTATAGCTCACATGACAACACATACGTCTGATAGACCATATTCCTGTCCAGTACAAGGATGTTCGTATCAAGCCCGTACAGTCGGTCGACTTGCACAACACAAAATTATTCACGGTCAAGGTGTGAACATCGCATTTCACATGTCCCTTATCAGTATTTTCGTGTTTTTTTATTATTATTATTATTATTATTATTATTATTATTATCATTATTACCAATTTTTCATGTTCCTTATAAAAGACATGATATTACATTGTAGGTTTAATTGGAACTTTATTTACAAAGCTCACTATCTGATTTTTACTGTATTCTTACAGGTCGTCGTTTTTCTTGTGATTATTGTGAATACAGCGCTACCACATCTTCTAATCTTCGTCGTCATGCTCGTATACACGCTGGGGCCAGGCCATACTTATGCCCTCATTGTCCTCACCGTACTAGCGAACTAGATGCTTTAAAAAAACATGTTCTAGACTCTGGTAGGCATCCGGGTCTACCACTTTATGTGTGTCCGTGGTGTCGATCGGAGTCCAGCACAGTCTGCGTTGGTTTTAATGCTTCAAGTCTCGCATGGCGACATCTGCTCAGCGAGCATTCAAGTGAGATTATGAAACCAGAAACACTGAGTCGAATCGGTCGAGTATCTGAAAAATCGCTTTCAGAGGTAAGAGCATGTGAATCTATTTTTGTGGCAGAATATTGATCCGTCATGGAAATGTCTATTCTTCGTCAAAATTATCATAGCAACCAACCTTACTCGTATCGACATATATTTTAAGCCTCAGGCATTGCGAGTGATTGTCTACGGGCTTCACACCATTATTTTTTAAAATAAGAAGTGTACATATATCATTAATCACTGGACAGTGTAGCCTTCATGGGTTATAGTATTTAAATTAGAAGTCCTTTGAATACTGTTGTGGTGAAGGAATACTAAGGTATGGTAAATCATTTTATTGTTTTACGCGAAATCAAATAGTAGCTTTGTAAAATAAAGAAATTATACATTAATTACATCATTTACATATCTCCCTTCATTTGTCTTTTGCATAATTAATCATTTTTCCGATTCTGTTGCCCTTCGTTTTCCTTCATCTTTTCATTTCACTCTCCTATTGGTAAGCATTCTACTTTCAATTCCTGCTACACACTATTTGTCTATCCGCATAAATAGTGTACATTGTCGAGGTTAATTCCTCTATATCTGATTCCAATAAATAGTATCTCGTTAACTGAGTGTTTACTCAGACTAAATCTCCTAGTAGAATCATGGATTTATTCGAGATTATACAAAAGCCGGGACACCAGTTGTCGAGATAGTTTATCGTTAATGATTAGTAAAGATCCGCAAGTGCGAAGAAAGCAAGCACATGTATATTTATGAGCGTTAACCGACTGTGAATAAATTATTGATTGTCTGTGTGTTACAACCAATGGGAGGATAGATTAAATATTGATGTGCAGATATGCTCTCAGTCGAACTCATACATAATTTTACATAGTGGATTAAATATCTAAATTACAGCGAGTAGACAAATAATAAATTAGTTAGATTGGTTCACTACAACATCACACCGTCACTAATGATTCAAATTGTTTGTAGGGCGTTTTAACCATTCAATCAATGGAATATGATAAAGGATAGACTCATCTTCCTTTTTTTAACTATAAGTACGCACTATTTCCTCCATTATTCTCTACGGGCATAGTCTTTTCCCTAGTGCAAAACGACTTATCATAAAATTAACAAGTTTAACCAATGCTACCCACAACTACTTTTGAAGTAGTCTGTTAGTTTTAACCATAAAACGTGATAATAATCCTTGTTAACCTGTAATAGTGTAAACAGTCATTTTCTTGTTGAATATGCTCAACAAATGCCGTACAATAATACATCATTAGTTGACATAGATAAATTCTTATGAAAAGCGTTACGGAATCAATAAACAAAATTGATTTACAGTGACCCAAACTGTATAAGATCTACTAAGAAAGCAATAGTTGTTGATTGTAAATGCTCATTAGAGTAATTTTATCTAGTTACTAATTCATATGAAAAAACTTAAAATTGAGGTTTTCGGTCAAAATTTGCAATTTGGTACACTTGTGTTTACAACAGGAAATAATTGCATTTATATGCTCAGTTCACTCCCTACTTTTAATATTATGTTAATATTGTAAACTATGGGGTTTTAACTGTTAGTGTTAGTAATATCCATTTTGATACTACCTTTTGAGAAGAGTTTGTTGACAAATGTTAACTACCCGTTTCAAATGTCATCCTTGATTATCCCATCGTTTTATGTTTTCACCAGTTCCTCTAGAATCAGACTGTTGGTTTTTTAAATAATAGAGTAAGGAAAAAAAGCTTATCATATCTTTATGATATTTTAGCGCAACACATTTCGAAAAGTCTGATCATAGATATATTTGTGTATGTATATATTTATGTATGAAAAATAGAGGTCAACTAAACAAGTAGAGAGATAGGAGATGGAGAAAACAGTATAAACCACATCATACCTGGCTAGATTCAGTATTAGAACAAATTGTTTTTTACAAAATAAGTGGGTTTTAATTTTTGTATAACCAAAGGGTTCAATAAATATTGGGGTATGCCCCTGAGCAACTCTGGAAGTGGCTGATTTGATGTTAACTCCGTGACCCAAATGAACCAAGTGTTTCATAATGTAGTACGATATTTGTCTATTCTGTACTCTTAACTCACCACTGGAATTCATCTGCTTATGTAGCCACTTAGGTATATTTTAAGCCACCTTTACATACTCATCACGATTGTTTCTCCCTATTTATATGTCCACATATTCAAATTGATAGACACATTAGAATGTGACGTAGTCGTTTCTAGACTCTGTACTTTTAGTTAGACTTAAACTTCTTAGGAATAATGAGTTTGGTTGTCTGAAATATCCTACTGATCGCCAATTTATGTCTCCTCAACCATTTACATCACCTCTGAATAGTAGGGTGATATAAACATGTTTTCTGTGTGTCGGAAACGTAAAAGGTCTCATCACATTCCACATTGGCTTCGATTTATGAACTTAAATAAATGTCCACTTTGCATCTATGTTTGAGTTAAAAGCTCTTCTTCGGATACAATTCGTCCTATTGGATAAACATTCTAATATGGCCCTAGTTTGTAGTGTACTGGACAGTAAATAACATATTACCATGTCCATGTTGGTTTTTTACAAATAGAATGATATAATCATTGTCCATCAATTAGTGTATATTTAAGAAGAGAAGCGGATTATTCATTTCCGTCCCACATAAAAGATTAATATGCTTTTGGTATACATTAGATTTCTTTAAAAAGTGGTTCACATGTTTACACTTAGGTCTGATCTCATCCACTTAACACTTATAAAGGCATCTTTTTAATTGAGTCTGTAATTGGTTTTTCTATATGTGCCATAAACACACCAGCTAACTATAGTCTTGAATGTTAACTTATAGCTATGCCATCAACTTGTCAAAGTACTCGCCCTTATAAGTGAATTGCTCGTTGTCTAAAAATTTACATCTAAGGGACAAATTGTCTTAATTTCAATGAATAACATTTAAGTTATCAATCAATCCAGGTGAATCATAAAATACTTACGCAACCGGTTTCACATATTAATGTCTTGACAAGTTAATGTATGATCAGGGTGTTCAAAATTTACTTCGTCACTATGTCATAGAGTGCTAATAAACTTCGTCTTATTGCATTATCCAAATTTAACAAAGGGACTAGTTGTGACTTTTAAATCCTCTGTAACTATAACTTTCCAATAATATTTTCATACACACACCTATTGATTTGTCTGTTTGGTAACATTTAATTTGCAGCGTGATGTCACTCGTCTTTTGGGTATATATTGTCCGGAAATCGACTCAACCCAACCACCAGAGAACACTGCTGTTAGGCAGCCATCTGTTGCTAGCCGCCGTAAAAACCAAAAGGTAGAAACTCTTGGTAGACCCTATTTTTCTGGAGAAAATGAATTAACGATTATAGAAACCAAAGAGTCAAATTCATCAGGAAATATAAATCCCGTTGAGGAGGATAAGATTAGATGTGAGGCTACAAAATGATCACATTTTATTCACAAGCCTTATTGTTTAACTTAAACCGATTATATTTTTGAAAACTCATTACTTAAAATTTATGATCTTTGATGACCAAATATTAATTAAAAAATCATTGAAAATTATAGGGGTATAGATGATTTCAGGGTGATATATTGTAACTCTTCAGAAGTATATATACTCGACCTTCAAGTTTCGAAGCTAGTCTTAAGTCACCAGGTCTATATGCAATGGATATCGATTATCGAGTTTAATGAAATTGTGCTTTAATTTGATTATCCTCCCTTGTCATTACCTATATCTATACTCCTTGTTATTGCCGATAAAGTCCTACTTCCTACTAGGTAGCCGATTAATCAGTAAATTATTAGCAAGTGAAACAAGTATGTTCCGATCAAAATCACAGCACATTACATTGGCATACCAAAGGACCATCAGCTAGACTAAGGATAAAGCGATGTGTACATTGATACCAATCATAGTAAAAGGATTAGAAGACGATAAAATCAAATAGTGTACGGATTTAAAGGATGTTGAAATGCGAATTCATCTGAGCTAGTGCAGTGGACTCTAAGGTTTGATAATTGAAAGTGACAAGCATTAAGCACTGTTTTCTGCTGGTTATCAGTCGGAAACCTTATAGATAGATGGTTATTAGTAGTCAGCACTTAACCGGGATATTGTGAAGGTTGTTTTATTACGGACGATCATCAACTAAAAACTCATGAGCAACTAGACCATTGTTTTGTCTGGATAGGAATTCATTTTTAATTTCTGTCAATTCTCGATGTGACACAATTATTATCCATTTTCATCTTCTATAACTGTCTCCTTAAACTATCAATCGTTTTGTGTACACATTCAACTCCGTGATACAAGTAGACTATATATTTGTCTTACTGATGACATTTTCAACCCTCTCGAAGTCAAATTTCTTAACAGATACTGATTTGTTAGTAATTTTTCTTACGTAGTTCAAACTCTCTCGACATATAGAGAAATTAAAATCGGTGTTAATGTGGCGTACAAATTTTTTTATACTAATTAGTTATTTTTCTCGTAAAATAATTACGATCGTAATACATGAACTGATCGTCACTACCCACTCATAACATTCTCGTTAGTTTTTATACTGTGAAGTATATAAGTATATAACTGGAGGTCAAAGTATTTTCGGTTATTTCACGTAGCTCTGCGAAATTACATCTGCGTCGGAATTCGAGAGCGGTTCTGGATGAGGATCTTTCTGGAACTCGAAAGTCCGGCGTCAATCTGCCTAACCCTCCCTGGTTGTTAGCGATTATTAAACCGTTACCAAGTTTTCAGTCACTTTCTTAATTTCGGAAATTCCCAGTAAGTTACATTATGTGTTGGTTCCCAACCCTCTATTGTATCCAATCAGTAAGTTATGAGTTGAATGTGTATATTGATCCCAGTTGTCACACATCACAGCGAAATTATCCATACACTAATACTTACTTGTTTCCGTGTAGTTTGTTCTGAGACTAAAACCACTTTTGTAAAACGAAGTGTTATCTGAGATACCGGTCATTAATAGAAATCACATGAAAGACTTATTTTGTTTTGAAAATCCTGTTTAAAATTTTGCTTTCTTTATCTATGCTAATTCCTTAACTTTATTTCTTATTTCCAGCTTCCCCAATCCCTATAAACTATCAGAAAAACGACGCTAATGATGATCTATCTTTTTACAATCTTATCCAAATTGGTTCAGGGGCGATTTGGTCACGTAATACGGCACAGTATACTGTAAATAATTTATGATATGGACTTTAAATGAATCTCATGATTATTTTAAAATTTTTCTCAATGAACCAGAGTTTGCGTATTATCAATCGTGCTCGATACATTCTATGTCAGTCAGTCAGCTACAACGTAGGACCAGGCACATATGTACATTGGTCCAAGTTGCCACACCTCATTAGCACAACAAGATGAACACCGGATTCATAGAAGTAGTTAATTCAGTGGTGGTAATATATAAAAGAAATATTGCATATAATTGCATATAGTACAGGAAGAAAGAATTAGGTCGTAGAAAGAAAGATATGAAGCGATTTTAATCTCTAGTTTAAGGGAAGACAGAGAGTGTATACACCGACGCCATTGTGATCGATTCTGAGCCGTGTCACCAAGAGTCTCCAAGCATTGGTCACGATAGTCACGCAGACCCCAACCAAGTAGTCTGCATTTACCAATATGGCTCAGACCAGGATTTAATGACTTCAAGTACTGATGCCACGTTTTTGGCTTAGCTGCCCCTAACTTTCTCCCAACCATCCCCAACACCAGTTAGCATTGCACATCGTGGTAATCGGTGTTCAGACATACGCAACACGTGGCCCAACCATCTCAGTCGATGAAGATTCACAACCTCCAACTGATTTACCATCGTTCCCTAATACCCTACGTTTAACCTCGCTATTACTTACTTGGTGATCCCAGCAGATGCGAGCAATATTTCCAAGGCATTTGTGGTCAAATACTAGTAGCTTACTAGTATCTTCATCTCTTAATAGCCACGTTTCGCAGCCACAAAGCAAAACAGAACGAACTACCGCGCAGTATACTCGTCCTTTTGTTGATAGACGGATATCTCGCCTTCGCTATAGGTGACGTAAGTTGGTACAAGCCAAATGAGCCTTCCGAATCGGTGCAGAAATTTCTTCAGACACCAACCCATCAGGGCTGATCAGACTTCCAAGGTATGTGAAGTTGTCGACGCGTTCGACTACTTCACTCCCTACCCTTAGTTCAGGTGTTGACGCAGGCCAGTCCTGAAGTAACAACTTGCATTTAGAGGGAGAGAAGCGCATTCCAAACATTCTGGCATTGTTGCTTAGTGCTGCCAAAAGACTCTGCATTTTGTCAGCGTCTTCACCAAACAGGACTATATCATCTGCGTATTCTAAGTCGATAAGTGGACCTCCTGGTAGGAGATCAATACCCGAGAATTCAGTCGATGAGAATGTTATTTCCATACGTAGGTCTATGATGAAGTTAAACAGAAATAGAGAAAGTGGACAGCCTTGACGGACACCACTTGAGGTTGCAAAAGTAGATGACAGTTCGCCATAAGCTGTGACTCGACTAGTAGTGTTCGAGTAAAGATCCTTCACAAGGTTTATTTACTCTTCTCCGTTTCAGATCAGCTATAGCTTTCTGAACTTCAGCTAGATCGGAGGGCCCATTTCAACGTTTTGAGAATGGTGGGTAATTGTAGAGTAGCTGAACTGCTCCTTAAAATATTCCGCCCGTCGTTCTAAACGTCTTGACTGGGAGTAGATAAGAATGTCTTTTTTCGAGATCGTCTCACTTACACATGACTTGTTAATTCCAGTTTCTTTTGTTAGTCTGAAGAGCTGTCTGGTGTTACCTACAGCCTCTGCCTTTTCCATCTCTTTTGCTTTCGTTGCTTACGGTTGTTCCTTAGACTTTTGCTTAACCTAGATCTGACTCGTTTTCGCTCTTCATCGTATTCATAGCCTGATGGGGTGAGTTTACGAGAATCCATCAGTGCAATAGACTTAGAGTAAATCCACTGGTTTTTTGTAACCCTTTGGTTTGAATCACTAACAGATGCCACAGCTGTTTTTATATCATCCCAAGCAACATCTGGGTCAACCTCATTTTCAGAACTACCTAATTATTACATCAGTTGTTCCTGGAACCTACTTTTGGTTTTCTCGTCACTCAATTCAATTCTAATGGATCTTTTTACTGTGGCTTTTCTGCGTCCAGTGAGGTGCAAGCAGATGCGTGCTCGTATTAGGGCGCGTGGTCGGAGTCCAAGAAGGTACTCCAGAATGAGCGACAATCTTCTATCGACCATCTCCAACGATGACTGATGGCAATATGGTCCATTTGAGTCCATCGTTGGTTTGGTGCAGGGAGTCGCCATGTTAGACGATGTCTCTCGTTATGTTTAAAATTTGTGTTTGCTAAAAATAAATGATTGTCTGAGCACAGTTGCAGCAGATGATCATCATTATCTGTTCGCTGAGCCGCAATACCAAAATGCCCACCTAAATGTCTTTCTGTTTGGTTTAAGCTACCTATCTGGGCATTCAAGTCACATACTACAAGTTCTATGTCTGAGCGTTTAGCTTTATAAGGAAGTTCAGAGGGTTTTCTGTAGAAGTTATCTTTCACTTCATCTGGGCTGCAGTCAGTGGGAGTGTTGGCAGAAACGACGTGTGTCCCTATCCTTACAAGTTTTTATGAAGCCGTTTACATGAACAGCACATAGACGACTTTTAAAGGGGATCCTCTCTAATAATGCTTGTTGCTTTTACTCTTACCGCTCCTCAACAGACCTGTCTTGCACTCTAGGACTTTGAGGAACGATTGTTCCACGTGTATAGCGCGATTGGTTCATCACTAAAGGAAAGTCCAACCACCACGTCCAGGTAGCAACACCGGTCAGGACATTCTGTGTAGGTTATACTAACTCTGTCATCCTACTTTACGACGTATGCAGCAAGCCGCAGCTTATCAATCAAGAAGAAATTGGTTATATATGAGCATGTTAATTCTATCGAAGCGTCGAAGTAACCCCGATTGAGATACGCGCAAAATCGAAGTTCCAAAACAACGATTTGTCTACAAAAGCGGTTCTTTATTAAATAATACACAAAATTTAGTTACAAACCTCAACTTGTGAGGTGTCTAGGCGTTTAAACGCGTCGTTCAAGAATGAAAATAGCAAAGGCTTCCTGTAAGAGTAACATAAAGAATGATTACAACATACGATAGTCCAAAGACAGCCGATAGCTGTGTCTAAATTTGGTAACAGTTTATGAACAACCGAAACTCGAACCAAGAGCAAACAATATGGAAACTGTTGCATTCAAACAAATGCATAAAACTGTGGATAACCTTTACAGTAATTAAATTACAGTGATTATAATGATAAATACAATTATAAGTAAAATAAACATTAAAGATATATGTGAACATTCCAGAATGTTACAGTACAACTTGAGTTACAACATAAGTGTGAAAATTGTTGGGTATACAGCTGCCTACTGAATGTAAATAAGTAGTATAAAACAACATACAAAAGAGTAGAAAAGGAACATATAGGAACAATGTAAAACAAACTTAACACCGCCCCCCAAAGACAGCATGTCTTTCCTTACTTTCGCTGATTAGGTATTAACATAAAAACATTCAGAGGTGACAATGGTACGATTTACTCTAGCCACAGTCACTCTGAAAAGTCTCTCTATCCTCTACTTTTCGGTCATCAGCTCCTTCTTATAAACAAATTTTACATATGCCTCTAATAATTGTACCCTTCCACGTTCTGATCTTCGCTTGGTTCCATAGACCATCTCCTCCTGGGTCAAAACTTACCACGAGGCCTTTAGACCAGTTATTTCGTGCATAAGTGTCCTCAATAATCAAGACTGGACCGCGAACTTGTAAATCTCGTCTTCCTTGTGTCCATTTTGTTCGCGTCTGTAAGAGTGGTCTACCATTAGGTATTCTTTCTGCTTCAGCCAAACAGGTGGTGAGTGTCTCGTAGGACATAGATACTGCGCTCAAAGGTCTGCGTATGCTTCCTATTAATCTTTCCCATACTCGATGATGATTTGCGTAAGGAGTGTTATGGTGCCATTCTATGTTCCGATGAGTCATTTCTTCGGCTACTCTACTATCCTTAAAGTCTGGTAATGGATGTTGTGTCTGCTTGTCTAACCCAACTAAAGGAGACATGGATACAGTTGTCTTAAACTTCTTATCATCATCAGCATACTGAATAAAACAATCATCTTTCTGATTCTCTGTTTCACGCTTGATGTCAATAGAACTCTCAGCAGACGCCACTACAGGAGATACAAGTTTCGTATTTGCAGAGAACTGAGTTGTTGTTGCTTTGCAACTAATTGATGACTCGTGTAGTAGTATCACAGACTTAGCACTATCGTTCACGTCAGAAACACTAGGGAGATCTGTTTCGGCAGAGAACATAACAGATGTTTTCGATGACATTAACTCGCCGCTATCTGTTAGAAGAATTTTGTCTGGAGGAGAAATACATCTAAGGTCAATATTCACTGCTGTATCGACATGACGATCGTTGGCAGTTTTTAGAAGGTACTCATCGTCAACAGCTGGTAATGAAATAACTTGTTCTAAATCCATTAAATTCTCGTCTGTCGCTTTAGATACAGAATCAAAGGTGTCTATAAGTCGGTTACTTCTTGAATCAGGTGGAGTGTTAAATCCAAAAGAACGAACTGACGGTAAACCTTGATGAACTCTGGAATCTTCAGTCTCAACAGCGGCTGCTGTTACTATGAGTAAGCGTACATCATCATCATCGACTAAGAGTGACACATCAGGAGAGTGTTTAAGGCATAAACCAGGATCATCTATGAACGGCAACAAACGATTTGGAGAGTTTTCAGGCGCTACTGTGGTCAAAGAAGAGGGTGGCGTGGGTCCGTCCTCGATAGAACTCTTTGCTTCTAAACAACCTTCCCAACTCAATCGTGACTCTTCATCTATCATCTCATCCCACCCATAGTTTTTACGACATAGCTGTTGCAGAATTCGTTTAGGGGTAAGTGATAAAGGCGCTAGAAATCCAAGCGGGTCATATAACGATGATGCACATGATAGAATGCCTCTCTTAGTGATCGGGCGTTCGGGAAGATTTACGTCGAATGCGAAACAATCGGATTGCGTGTGCCAACAAAGTCCTAAAGTTCTCTGTATACGTTCTGTTGAACCTGGTATACGAACCAAATTGTTTGATCTGTCACCTATAGGGACGTCATTCAGCGCTTCATTTACGTTACTAACCCATTTATGTAAACGGAAGCCTCCAAGTGCCACGAGTCTCATTAGGTTCTTTGCTAACTCAGCAGCTTCTGATATTGTTTCTACTGAGACTAAACAATCGTCTACATAAAAATTTTCTCGTAAAGTGGACTGTGTTTTTTCATCGAACAAATCTCGGTGGTCTGTAGCTGTGCGTCTTAAAGCATATGTAGCGCAAAACGGTGAGGACGTAGCCCCGAAAGGGTGTACATGCAACTCATAGACCTCAGGAGGAGAATCAAGATTGCCATCGGGGTACCATAAAAAGCTGAAGGCCTTTGTATCCTTTTCGGGTAGATGTACCTGGAGGAACATTTCTTCAATGTCTGCTGACAATCCAATCTTATGCTTTCTGAATCTAAGCAAAACTCCCACTAGGTCGTTTGTAAGATCTGGTCCAGAATATATACAATCATTTAGAGATCTGTTTTGTAACTTAGCAGCACAATCAAAGACTATCCGAACTTTAACTGGTTTTTTAGGGTTAAATACGGGATGATGTGGAATAAAATACCTTTCTTCTTCGATAGCTTGAGTTACTCGAAACAAATATCCTTTACTTTCGTGGGTAGCTAATATAATAGTATACTGTTTCCGAAGCTGTTCGTCTTTTAGCAACGTTTTACGTAGGTAAATTAATCGTTTTTCTATTTCGCGCTTATTCCTTGGAAGTGAGTGCCAATCCACCTTCCAGGGTATCGGCACTTGATAATGTCCATCGAGCAATACTGTTTGTTTGTCAGTAATCTCCATAATGGTCTTATCACATAGGGACATGGTAACCTTATCAGAGTACTTATTTTCAGAAAATTCATGTTCAAATAATTTGAGAATATCCTCCTCAAAGGAATTTTTCGCTTTTAAACAGTTCATGAAGACTGAAGTTTTATTAAGTTGACCCGTTGGTCCAAATAAAGCCCACCCTAATATGGTTAGTGAAGCATAGGGTTGTTTAGGTTTTCCGATACGCTGATCGAGTACCCAGTGGGCCTCTGGAACGTCAACACCAAGTAACAAACCAACCTTGTCACAGGCTATGGTGGGTAGTTGTACACCTTTCAAGTGTCTCCATCTTTCTTGGAAGTCCGTTGGTGGGATTTCTGCTCTTTTAATAGGTAGGTTATCTATAGTATATGCACCTTCGATTTTTATTCGGTTGGTCTTATCTAAAGACTCAATTTCGAAATTGGTAAGTTCAGCGTTCTGAGATGACGCTCCAATTACTGAAGATATGTTTAATCTTGTCACTATACCAGAAATTCCTACCTGCTTTGCCACGTCACTAAGCAGTAATGTCGAGTCTGAGCCATTATCTAACAATGCATAGGTATCCACATAACCTGTGGGACCATGTAGTCTGACTGGTACAAAGCCTAAATACGTCCCAGTAGTATGAGTAGAATTACAACATGCTTGTTTAACATCAGGTTCTGTGTTGTGAAGAATTCTATGATGGCGTCGCTTGCATCCATCAATTTCACACAACACGGGCTGTCTGCAGTCTGTGGCTCGATGATTGGGTTTTAAGCAATTAAAGCAAAGTTTAAACTTCTTCAACAATTCTACTTTTTCGTTGTGACTTACTGACAGCAGCTGAGGGCAAGATGCGACTTCGTGGGCATCGGAGCAAATTACACAATGGACTGATCCTTTAATCGACGAAGTATGGATCTTAGCTCTTATGGAAGACGACCGGTTGTTCGATGTCGTTTGAGCTTTATAGCTTCCGCTTGCTAATTGTCCGTATGTGTTTGTTGCGATTGACACTTTCTTTTCTAAGAATTGCAATAAATCATCAAAATTGGGCTCTAGCCCCTTTCTTAAAATATCGTCTGCGGCCTCCGCCCATTTAAACTGTATACTACGTGGTAGTTGTTTCACTATTCGTTTTATGTTGGTCGAACAATCGAGATCGGCATTCCTACCCATCTGTGACAAGGCTATCTTACAATTAGTCATGAGTCTTGTCAGTTTCTGTAGGCCCGTTATGTCGTCTTGATTCAGTGGGGATCCACTTAACAGTTCTGTTAAGAAGGCTTCCACGATGTCATGTGGTCTGCCGAACCGTTCATGTAGAATTTTAATTGCCTCAGTATAACCTTCTTTTTCTGGTAATAAAACACAGTGTTCTATAGCATCCTTTGCTATACCTTCGCAATAGTGTATCAATACATTAATTTCTGAGTGTCATCATTTACTCTGTCAGCTATGTTAACCTTGAATCCCTTCATGAACGTCCAAAATTTCAGAGGACTCCCGTCAAATTTCATGATTTCTATCTTCGGTAAGCTTACTGACATACATAGCGACTTGACACTATCTACCTGTGCTTTGAATTGCATTTCATCGCTCGAAGGTACATTGGTGTATCGGTGACTTGCTGTAACTGCTGAAGTTTTATCCTCGGATCGAGACCCCGACAACTCGGTAGTCTCCCTAGGTCTTCTCACTTTGTTTGAAGAGTTCGGAGTTAGCTCTAACAATCGCTTGCGTAGTTGGAGTTCTCTAATCTCCAGCTCAATCTTTTCTACTTCCCTTTCCCTAGAAACCACTTCGTCTTCTACGCTGTATCCAGTCTCTACATAGTTGTCTCCTACCGAGCAACTGTCTTTGGGGTTAGGTTTAACAATATCAAAGGCAAGATTTAAAGGAATAGGTGAATTCACCTTAGAAACTGAAGGAATAATATTTTCAGCACTGGAATCGTCTGTGTCTTTGGAACTGTCATCGTTGTACTTCATTCTTCTCGTTCTAGTCATCGTTGGGATGAATGAACCAAACAGAATTCCGACCAAAATTCGTTACAGCAAGTGTTCCCTCCAATTAGGACCAAAGTTCAGAACTGTATCCACACCAAATGAGACCAAAGTTGAGAACTGTTAATTCTATCGAAGCGTCGAAGTAACCCCGATTGAGATACGCGCAAAATCGAAGTTCCAAAACAACGATTTGTCTACAAAAGCGGTTCTTTATTAAATAATACACAAAATTTAGTTACAAACCTCAACTTGTGAGGTGTCTAGGCGTTTAAACGCGTCGTTCAAGAATGAAAATAGCAAAGGCTTCCTGTAAGAGTAACATAAAGAATGATTACAACATACGATAGTCCAAAGACAGCCGATAGCTGTGTCTAAATTTGGTAACAGTTTATGAACAACCGAAACTCGAACCAAGAGCAAACAATATGGAAACTGTTGCATTCAAACAAATGCACAAAATTGTGGATAATCGTTACAGTAATTAAATTACAGTGATTATAATGATAAATACAATTATAAGTAAAATAAACGTTAAAGATATAGGTGAACATTCCAGAATGTTACAGTACAACTTGAGTTACAACATAAGTGTGAAAATTGTTGGGTATACAGCTGCCTACTGAATGTAAATAAGTAGTATAAAACAACATACAAAAGAGTAGAAAAGGAACATATAGGAACAATGTAAAACAAACTTAACAGAGCATTTGGATATCATCTAAACCTAAATATACTAGTTTTTTACTAAGTAATTGATAAGCTGAATCGTTACAATTATGTACATATAGGACAATGTTTAAACTGTCTTTACTTAAAATTAGATTACAATTACAGTGGGGACGTTTTCTAATAGTTTCTGTGTAAATGGGAATTTTCAGCATTTATTCCAACAAAGGAATAACAATTAAAAGTAATTCAGACCTTTTTTGTTAACGACCATAAAGAACTCAATATGCGGAAAACTAAATCAAAGAAGGTATTTCAAGTGGACTAAGACAGTTGATAAGGCGGTATAACTATAGCCATAAAATTACTAATGAGTAAATACGTTTATAATTTTTATTGATTTTAGTGTATATAGTTAGTACAATATGAGATCTTAGACGACAAATTCAACCAAAAGATTGTCAATATACTTATACGTAGATAAAAATATATAATGAGACATTAACCGGCTCACTTGTGTTCGCTAAAATACAGCCTACTTTTCATGTCTGTGGCTAATTGGCTCACAATCAACCTTGCTATATCTAAGGTTAAACAAACTATCTATCTGATCAGACGGATAAAATGGTTCCCTAGTACTTATCTACTACCGGTTCTTTAGAAAATGCAACATCAAATTTAGTGTTACTGTAATGAGTAAACTATTAAATAAGACGTAAAATAGATAATATTATTATGGTAAGAAAGCTTCCGGTTGTAAGGCTTGTAGTATATATAAGCTGTTAATCGTTCGATGCCCTTCAGTTAAATGGGCTATCTTCGTGTGACGAAATACGGAGAAGGGGTGCTTAGTTGAAGTACCTCGTCGTAGGTCACTTTGTTTCCAAAACTCGCAAATGTCGATTGAGTCAGTAATTCAAGTTATTCATAAGTTTTGAGAAGTGTGGATGTTTACACTAACCTCTCAAATTACTGTTTGTATGTTTTTAGAATATATACTGTTTAGTCTAAGTTAACATTGAGTCACATTAAGTTTGTAATATTTTTATAAGAAAGGTATCTTGTTTGTCTATTTTATAAATCGTTAAGTAGTTAGGTCATTTATCAGCAATCCATAAAGTAGCAATTTCTGATATCAACCTTTTATCATTTCCAACTTACTAATTAGATGAATATTTTATCACTTTGATACCCATCCCATGCTGTAGTGTCTGTCATCGGCAGTGAAAACAAATAACCGTTCTATGGTACTCTTTCGAAACATGAGTTCTTCGCAACTGTGCTACTTTGGGTTGTCAGCAGTATAATCTTGACTTCAATGAACTGTGTTCTGGTGGGGGTTCTATACATGCCAATTTCATACAACTATATACCAGTATGGTTTACAATAACCACATGACTATTAGGTACATTGATTCAATTCATTTGGTTTCCTCGTACCCGTTTATGACTAATTATAAAACCCCTATCCGTATAATTTACCGCAGAACTGTCTGTCTTGTGTTAATACGTTTGTGTACAACAGTAGGGATTATGCTTTCTACTGCTGCTACATGCCTAATTCGAATCGTCTTGAGTGCTGGTCTCTCCGCGATTACCGGAGATTTTATTGAACACTTTTGGGAATCACCGGTCAGTATCTTAAATACAATTATACTGCTTTTCACAACTATTTCCGGGTTATTCATATATACAATCTATTGGTTACTAGATATTTTGCTTTTCCGTACTTCAGATCATTTCTGTGCGGTTCAATTCCGGAGCAGTTAATATCCACAACAATATTTCATATGTACTCAAAATTTTACTATGTCCAATACCGTCAAAGTATCAACCGTGTGTTTGACGCTCGATTGATTCTAGATAGTGTTCTTTGAAATAATGCAGTGGGAAATTTGTGGATTGGGATTTTCGTGTCACCACTGTGATAATTGTTAACGAACCACCAAGTGTGAATATGATCAATGTATATGAATGCATTCATGTATCGTTTTCCAGGGTTATATTTGTTTATACGGACTTCTGAGTGATTTAATCTAAAATACCCCCACAAAATTCCCTTTAGAAGTTCCTTCATTCAGAGAAAACAAAAGCGATTAAAAATGATCTGTGAAGTCTATCTGTATTCTGACACATGATATCGCATACTGGAGTACGGCATATGAAGAGCCAGTTCCTTTCCTTTCAAATAGTATCTACCACACTCCAGAAACCCATTGCTAACAGAAGTCGACTCTAGAGAGAGCCCACGATACGACCACATAAAATAAAATCGAGTTCCACTTAGTCATCTTACTTTTTTAAAAAAGAAAGTGATATTTTTTCTCGCTGAGTAAATTTTATTGTTTTGGTCGTAAATTGCGGATTGTTTCCACTTGAATTTCAGTTAAAGTTTTTGGCGAGAGTATAGTTTATTCTAAAGTAACTTATCATCAGTTGGTTTGGATTTGTTTTCACTTTTGATTCTATCAATTTACAATTTTCTGGTCATCACTTCCTCTTGTCTCTGGGTTTCGCTTGTGTCTAGTTTCTTTTAAATACCTCCGATTTGTGACCGGACAGTCTATAGATATCAATTTCCAACTCCCATTATGTTGATACCCTGTGGAAAGTGGCATGCAGTGCGACGAGTGCAAGAGATAATACCACGAAGTTTTCATAAATCTAACGCCTCCAGTTCTTAAAAAGCTTAGTAAGAGTGGTTGCGTGTGGGTACGTCCGTGATGCTGCTCGAACACAAACATCTTTCTATCCGAAGCAATTGGAGTGGCAAATGCTGCTAAGAGGGGTACTACATAATAGAGCACTCGCTCGATTGATACACATATTGATGCAAGGTTACCTCAAATAAGCTGGGTGACAGCTGAATTACATGAATCAAATGGGGAAAGGCCGACTTCATACACCTCTGTCCTCAATAAAAGAATGTTCCTCTGTCCCCTGTCCTCCAAGTAATATTGGCAGGAACCGCTTAGAAATATCAATCGAGAGACTAAGTCTGTTTCTAGCAGGATAAACAAAAACCTGAACGACAATCATCCAGGATCTCATAGTATGTGTGACGCGACTGTGGTTGCCACTTCAACGAAAGTTGATGAATGATACAAATCAAAAACAAGAAAAGGCATAACGATATTAAAGAAAATTCAGTCCCCCAAATAGTATCCGAGAAGTTAAAGTCTGATCACAGTGACAAATAAATCATCTTTCATAAAATCATGGAGAGTGTGAGCTCCGGACTGAAATCTCCTTTTGAGCATATCATTGCGTTGATAATACAGCTACTGAATAAGCTTGTGCCTCAGGATACCTCCGGAGTCACTTTGCCAAAGGTGTATAGACTACGTAGTCAAATGAATTTGGAACCAGGCTAATTAAAATAGTATTTAAATCTCCTAATGAACGGAACCGAATATTAAAGAATGGACATAAACTACAGGGTCAAGAGTTATTGTTTCTAAGGACTTGCCTCTCGCAGACGGTATGAAAAGAAGAGAAGCCGACAGTGAAGTAAACTTTAGGTTAGATGCTGGCAAAAAGGACCTTGTGATCGTAAATTTTTGGGTGGTGAGGCCTTGACAGAGAATGATGCCCAAGCTACTATGAATGCAGCACGAATCGATCTAAATAAGCTTAGGATCTGCTGCAAAGATGCCCAAAGCTTGCTCAGTAAGTGGTCGAAACTAGGTACATAAATTGACTCCACCAAGGCGCATGCAACTGCAGTCACAGAAACTTGGCTGACATAGCCCATAAATCGTATGGAACCTGATTTTGAAGGTTTCATGTTATAAGAATCTGACAGAATCTAAAAGCGTAAAGAAGTAGCTATATTCATTAAGTATACTATCACATTTATCACTATCGACAGTCCCATGTGAATGGGACATGTGGATTAGTTAGTTGTTAAATAGAATACAAGAGCTGCTCATTAGTGTGATCTACCGTATTCCAAGCTGTGCGGTGCACACTGGACAGTGTGACCATTGAAGAACTGGGTGTCCTTGGTCTGCTAAGTAAGCTTGATATGGGCAGACTCGAAGGAGCCGATGAAATGCATCCTAGGTTACTTAGGAGACTAGCTAAATTCACTGCTAACCCCTTAAGTGCATGTTTTAATTGACTGCCAAAAGACTGGAAGGACACCATAGTAGGCCCTGTCTTCAAAACATTTACGAAATATAGATCTGAGAACTACCGACCCATTAGCCTAACCAGTATGGTTGTTAAAGTTCTAGAAATGATTATACGGAGGTAAATGTTTATGTATCTCGATGGAAATCTGTCTCACTAAATTATTAGTGGTTCGTGAAAGTTAGTGAGTTGTTAAGCACCCATGGTTACCTATAGACGTAGCCTACATCGACTTCAGCTAGACTTTCGACAAAGTTCAACACAATCAACTGCTATATAAATTAGGAAATGTCGGGGTCAGTCGCAATTTATGAATGTGGATAAAAGACTTCCTAGATGGGCGCCAACAAAAAAGCGGATGGACTTCAAGCTGTCTGGTAAGGAAACTGTTCAGTGGACCGCCTCAGGATGCAGTTTTAGGGCTAGTGTTTTTACTCTTGCATGTAAATGTCTTTCTACTTCTCCTATCATCATAGATTTTGCTATATGCTGACGATCTTGAGATATGGAGAGAGATAAAGAATTAAGGTGAGAAACTGAAGTTTCAACATGACTTGAGGAAATCTGAATGATCTAAAATTTGGAAGTTTCTGACAAATACTTCCAAGTATATTGTGGTGCATCTTGGTAATCAAGGTGCAGATACATAAATGGTGATTAGCATTGGGCTGCCTGTTGTCCAGACACCCAATGTCTTAGGAGTCATCGTTAGACAGGACTTAAAAACTACTGCATTTTGTTGTGGAATAGCCGCCATAGGTTTCAGGACCCTGTGGTCAATAAGTAGAGCCATGTCGACGCTGGAAGCTTTTTGACTTTATATACAGTATTCGTGCGTCTTAAACTTGAGATTTGAATACATGCAGCTAGCCCCTGCTTAAAAAAGACAGTGAGCTTTTGAAAAAGGCTTAGAGAAGAGAAATTAGGCTGATTCTCGGAATAGCGAAGCTCCCGTATGATACTCGACTGGTTAAACTAAACCTGTTCCCATTGTCATATCGAAGAACCAGAAATAACTCGATTACGGTTCTCAAATTACCTACTAACATCGACCTACAGATAAAAAAGACAAAATCTCTAAGCGTATTATTAAAAGGTTTAACTTACGTTACCATAGTAATTATTTTGCCTAGGGACAAATCAATCTGATTAACGACGAATAAGAATTGTTTACTTGATCAGACTTTTTAGAACTTTAAGCAAATTTAAATAAGATATCGTCTGACCATTGGATCCAACTCAGTAACTACTGTATAGCAAGAGCAGACGAATAGTCTTCATCCACTGTAGTATTGAATACAAATTCTACATTTGACCTTATTCAGTGAATGGAATATGCTTCATTGTTAGTTAATTGTAGTTGGTATTCTGGAATTCTTTCAAGACGTCTATTGCGTAATCCGATAGTTTAAGTCACTAGACAATATTTACAATTTATATATTGTCGGGGAAGATGGGAGAATAGAACCTCTAAGGCTTGTTTAACTGTACCCTATCAGCACTGACTATTTGCTGATTTTTTCACGTCAACTGTGAGAAAATTATAAGGGAGTAACTAACTTATCAGGCAATTTGTTGTGGTTTCGGACCTGTGTAAACACCTATAGTGACAATTGTGTCACGTGATCCGGTCGTCATTTGTTACTTATGGCTAGGTCAGTTTGGTTTTGTCGTAATCGTTAGAGGGATTATACTTAATATTTCAACTGCGTACACTGGACAACTAACTTAATCTTAAGATCAGCACTGGTGTGAATATGTCGGTATTTTTATTGCCTAGCTTGAGCTTCATATCTCCAGCTTAGCAACTAAATGTTTCAAAACATGTAGAAATAATTTTTTAGTACCACCATAACGACGATTACAAATTACGTTCAATTAGTGTCAAAGTGCATTTCATGGTCAAGTAGTAACAAGTGTAAAACGTACTAGTGACTCTTTAATAATTTCCTTAGTACAATTGGTCTTGCTATATATTTACCTTTATTTATGAGTTATGGCAAGAGGCCAGGGAACATTCTGAATAATCAGTGTTCATAGGTCATCAATCAACAGGAGAAAATGAAGAGCGAGTACCTCGCAGTTAAGAGCACACATATTTCATCATTTGATAAAGGAATATTAGATATATAGCATTTATATAAAATACGGAAGTAAGTCGGCCTGAATATCG